GGAGTTCTGAATTTGCAAAGAGTTTTACTGTACCGTTTGGTATGCCAGAGTTAATAGCATTGGTTACGGTCAGTTACGGCAACAAGTGTGCACCAGGGCTGGTACTCTGGTAAATGAAAGTTTTGTGTATTATAACATGTAGAATTATTTCTTTAAAATAATCACACACACACACACACACACACGCACATATATATATATATAGACACGTACATATCTACATATATATATCTGAGAAAATACGGGTGGTGAGTTATTTGTAATCAATAACACAGTACAAACATGACTTCAATTCTCATAGGTTGGATGTCTTAGAAATACTAAATGAATATATATATGTGCTTATAAATAATTTGTAAATTACTTATAAATTGCTTCTAGGGTAACATATTCAGACACGTCATTTGAATCGTGTTCAAGATTCCGCATTTAACAATATTCTTCTCGTAATATTTTGAGAATAACCTATTCAGAATATACCTGCAAGACTAGTTGATATTTTAAACACTGTTTTATTTTTTTATTAGCAAAAGTAAATAGAACCTTTACTCATCTACCTTGTTTTATATTCAAGGTAATTAAAAATCGAATGTAATTCAACAACTGCCTTGACTGAATTTAAAAGAAAAGCAATGAAGAATTCAAACGATCTGTAAGTTGAAGAGATCTCATTCTAACAAAGCTTTCTTGGAGTGGGGGTTATTTGTAGTTCTAGTTCATTGGAAATTTCATATGTAGGCAAAACTGGAAAGATTTCTTGTATTAATACAACAAATAGTGAGAAATGTAGATCTTCATCGGGAAAAGAAAGATGTAAATAAATCTAAAGCAGTTTTAACACTTAGAAATAAATAAAATGATGCCTCGCATCGTCACAGACATGTGACATGAGAAGAAAGAATGTTAAGAAAAACTAGCAACTTGAAAATAATAATGAAAAGAATATTGAGAGCATCTTGTTTAAATGTTAAGTGAGGAAAAATGCCTCCAATAAAAAAAGGGGAAAGGAAAATAGTCTTTCCCAAATCTTCGTCTTTGCTGTAAACTTACAAAGAGTAAAACAAATACAATCATTTTAATATTTCCGATATATTCTTGAATTAAAACAAAATGTACCGAAGACATTAAAGACAAAAAAATATGCCTCTACAGGAAACTGTTTTTCTTTTGGCTTTGACTTTTATTTTCCTCCGATGCTTTTACTTATGCCTGATATATCACCTTCCAGGTTACAGTATTATTTCTTCACCTAAAAATGTCAAAGGTCATAATAAAGGTTTCTTCTTGACAGAAGTTAGAATCGTAAAAGACGGAGTGGAATAATCAAAATATAACACTACTGATCGATATCAAAAGAAAAATATATTTTAATACACAATATTCCAGCATCGCTAGATTATAACAAACGTTGTGGACGGTTTCGTCACACCAAAACAAGGACAAAAGTTGATGTAACAACGTGTCTGCAAATCATTAGGTTTTCACCAAGTTTTCAAGAAAGCCCCGCGTCCAATATTTGCGCTGCCGTATACAAAAGTCCTATACATAAATATCCTGCCATTGTTAAACGGAACATTTCCTCACGTCTACACACCTTAAACGTTAAAGACAGAATTGTTACAAATGTACACAAATGAAAATCTGAGTCTACACAGCGTCATCTCATGTAAAATTTCATTAAACTTAATTCAAAAACGAAGGATTTGCGGATTTCAAAATAGTATTTTTGATACACCCTGTGTGTGTGTGTGTGTGTGTGTGTATATATATATATATATATATGTTAAAATGTGCAGAAATCGATAATCGGATTATAAGAGGTAAAATCTATCCGTATTAGATATCTGTAGATACGTCATTCTTAGAGAATTTGAAATAAATCAGTTTAGATTCAAGAAATGATCAACTGATGGATCAGATGTTATTTAATCAAAATTGCTTGTTAAATTTGACCGAGCAAATAATTATTTCTATTTTCTTTTCAAGACGTAGAACTACTTCATGCGTAATGTATTTAGAATTTCACCTCCATCAAGAACACATACGATCCATGTAAATTTCAGAACAATCCGAATTTAATTTAAATTTAAGACTGACATTTGATTGTAACAGCGATTTTTAATTTATATATTGTCGTTTGTGAATTTAAATAGGGATTTGTTTGAAAAGCACAATATTTAGTGACATTAAATTTTTCGTAAGAAAAATGCTCAGAAGACAAGAGTGTTGGTATATTAGATTTAATACTTTGTTGAGACTTATTCTATATTCTGTCGACAAAGATTTTTTTTTTTATCTCACTTCATATTCTTTCAAATACAAAGATACAGCATTTTCCTTGTCTTTTTACACTAATGGACCATATCAAAAAAGAAATAAATTGTACAAGTTTACCCTAAAGGAAAAGATCTAAATACTTGGCACCCAAATCATATATATATATATATATATATATATATATATATATATATATCTCGAAAAAAATAACATTTACAATTCTTTTAAAATCTTATATCGAGAAAAACACCTGTAAAAGGCCATAATAAAATCGTAGTTACAAAAACATCGTTGAGATTGCGAAATAGAATGTATCACTGAATCTTGCTTATAAGCAGATAAAACAGTTAGCAGCTATCAGTGTTTGTATTAGATTGGGTGGGGGTGGTAAAAGACGAGCAGAGCATAAAAAAATTCAAATGCATTAATATTTTTGTCTTCACCACGGACAAAATCGTTTCCATAGACGAAACGTCGCAAGCGTCACGCTAAGCTATCACAATAAACCTAGGAATGTGTTCAAAAATTCTTAATATCTCCAGTTGTAACATTTACAGCTATATATATATATTATTTAGGGAGAGAGAGAATTGGGGCAACAGATAATTATTTAAATATATTGTTAGATATAAGACAACGAATGTCTATTGATCATGAGCCGTTTGGAAGGAAATGAAGACAAATGTTGTTCATTATTTGGATAAATATCATGATGTACGTCTCTCAAGTTTCGACTCACATGAGCCATCTTGAGAGTGGATATATGGACATTTAAACAGTCACCTTCCAAAATGATATTCTGTCATGTTGACATAGAAGCTGATAAAACCAATGTGTAGTAATGGATAGCGACTCGGACTGAGGCATCGGAGAGCCGAGTTCTAATTCCAGTCGAATCCATTACCTTCATTTACGTGCTAATACTTTTGGGAAAGGCATGAAGCCACTTCTCGCACCAGCTATAGGTAAGTAGCTTAACAGGTCGGGTTTTGCAGCTTTGTTTGGCAATTGGTCTACGGCAAAGAAAGAAATGACAAACTTCTGCGCGAAAAAAATCTGCCTCGTCACCTAAACATGTATTACATATTGCACATACTGACTAAACTAAAGATGTTACTGTCTAATTTCAACTCCCGTTCTATGAAGCAAAGCTGATTGATTGCCACTATACACAGGTTCGCAATTTCGGCATTCTAGTTTGAATTCCATGTATCTGACTTAAAAGTCCATGGATTTGTTAATTTTTTTCAGGTTTATGTTGTTTACAAAAGTTGTAAATATTCCTGTTCGTCTCGGTACAATAACTGGATAAACATTTTCTTTAAAGCAACACTTCAAAAACAAACACCAGTGTGAATAACAGAGCTAGATAATTCATGATGAATTTTCTTCATAAGCTTAGCGAGGGACAGCATTTTTCTACCCATTGAATTTTTCTCAAACGAATTAGGTGAAGATTGTTTGACTCAGTATATTATAATCCTAGCATTGTTGGTTTATATGAAGTTTATGAAAAACTGCTAATATTTCGGAAGGATTGTGGCATAGTGATCACCGGTAAATGGTGTGTTCAGACGGACTAACGGAAACAAGTCAATCTAGGTGAACATAACTTTTACATTACGAGATTACGGGATCTTTTGATAACCGATTTCCAGGATGTCTATGTCTGCCTCAAATCCTGCCAGCTACCAGAACATATTAGGAATGAAATTTCATAGCACCACTCACACTCCAGAATCCAATTACTGACATAAGGATATCAAATGAGACCAGTTGATCTTTCTTCCTTTACAGTATCCCATCAAAATGAAAGAACATTCAATTAAGCTTCTGGATATAGGCCCAGTACAGTGTTTAATATGAATGTGATTCTAAATATTTCACTTTAGTGCAACCAAAAAAATACTAACCAATGCCTCTGGTCTATATCATTAAAGTATTCTTGCACGACAGTGCATTTTCTTGATAGCCAGTAATGTTTTCTATGAAACATAACAGCCACATCTTTCCAGTTTCAGTAATGAAATATTCAATTTGCCATCACATTGCCATAACCCGTTCAAAATTTCAAGATCCGTAATTTCTCGTTATGCCATGAGCATCTATTCAGTGTTCCACATATCTCACCATATGGCGGAGGAAAACGGATATAATTTTGAGCAGTTCTTGATGTCAGCAATCAATGATGCCACTACCATTATTTACACGAAATGACATTTAATTATATATTTACTTCGATTTGAGAGAATACCACAATATCTAAACAAGATCGTTTCTAGATAGAGGCCTGCAGATTGATGTGTAAAACTGAAAATCGCAATGCAATGTTGAGATATATATATATATATATATATATATATATATATCTCATGTCCACAGTGACTTTATCTAAACATGTGGGTACTTATTTACGGAGTTGTAAATACAGAATGATATGAAACATTTATATGCATGCATATATATACAGGCTCAGTTATATAATAGTGTGATAGGCCTTCAGGTAAATCTCAACAGATATTTTCATGTCGAGACAATAGATTAGAAGCCCCACTTAGCGTCAGGACCGCAGGTTCGAAGCTGCCCTTTCTGTGTAGCCGCCAGGTTCGAAGCTGCCCTTTCTGTGTAGCCGCCAGTTTCGAAGCTGCCCTTTTTGTAGCCGCCAGTTTCGAAGCTGCCCTTTCTGTGTAGCCGCCAGTTTCGAAGCTGCCCTTTCTGTGTAGCCGCCAGTTTCGAAGCTGCCCTTTCTGTGTAGCCGCCAGTTTCGAAGCTGCCCTTTCTGTGTAGCCGCCAGGTTCGAAGCTGCCCTTTCTGTCTCGCCGGTAGCTTTGCTGTATACTTCTCTTTTCTCCACTACACACCGATAATAATAATAATAATAATAATATTTGTGACCGTTTGCTCTGCAACAACGAATCGTATATTAAACACGAATCATTTAATGTCATGCGACCTATTCTTAATTTGATTTTATGCTTTGTGTTTCTCTCGAAAGTAAGGTTTGTAATGATGTCTAATTTAAAATATCTCGCTTTGTTTTCACCGATTTAATAGTTGATTATATTATTCTATAAATCAACAGGATTATTTCATCGAATTGTACAATCTGAAAGACGCTGCAACACCACCAATCATATTGTAACATTTAATTGGAATATAAAAATCATACATAAAAGATTTATGTGATATGCCTTTAGGTAACTGCATTTATAGTGCGAAACTTTAAATGCATACTCAGTAACAAACGGATAAAAATCACTGATTTCATTGCAATTTTTTTTCTTCCATCATCAACTCTGCCCTTACGAATATCTTTTTGCTAAGGTCTTTTATATCTCTTTTCATTATGAATCTATAGACCCAATACCTTTTGGTAATTCTTTTGTCAGTTGGCAGTAGAACCAATAACTCTAACAGATATATCAGACTAAATTCTTTATTTCACTCTTGTATATGCTATGTGATCTATTTTCCTATCTTGACAGTTGTATTTTTTCACACTTAATCACTTTTTATTTTATTTTTAATTTTTGTGTCTGAAATGATTTTTTTTTTTACTTTCCAACAGTGTCTGCTTCATTCTTTCCATTTCATACTATTTTAAGTTGTATTCTGTTAATTCCCATCTCAAAGTTCTCTAACGCTTAACCAAGTATTGAGCTCACATTCTTTGGGTCCTGTCTGGATCTACCTAACGACTTTATCCACTATGCCATATGTCCTTGAGGATAGCTGTGTATGAATTTCTGAGTATTATAAACCTAATGTCTTTAAACATTTTTACCAGTACTCGTATTTCAATTTGTGCTGTTATCAATCATACTTTTACCAGAGGTCATATTGCAATTTTCGTTGTTATTATCGGTTATTACTGGTTCCCATATTCATTTTTAGGCTTGGTCAGCTCAGGATATTTTTGTGGCCTAGCATATGTGCTGATTCCTTAAGATTACGAATTTTCCAATTGTGTCCTTTGTCTATGGTCTCAACTTGATCCCAAAGAGGGCGGTGATGTCCCTTTTTTTCTCATGTGTTCAGCCACGCCTGATTCTCCCACTTCCCCTCGTGTTGCAGCTTTCTGGTGTTCTTGAAGTCTTAGCTTGAGGGGGCGGCCTGTCTCTCCTTTATATTTCTTTCCGCAGCTTCACGGGATAGTGTACACAGTCTTTAGTCATGTTCTCCTCTATGGGGGGGTCTTACGCGTGAGAGATATCTGCGAAGCGTCGTCCCGCTTTTGAAGGCTGCCCTGATGCTATATGTACCGCAAATCCATTGTATTTTCTCTCATAACCCCTTCACATAATGCAGGCAGACTGTTTTCCGAGTGGTTTTGTCTTCTTGTACTTGCTTATCCCAGTATTTTGGTGCTGCTGCCATGTACCCAGGGTAGTTGTTATATTGTAGGGTACTACTTATACTGACCAATTCTTTATCTAATGTCTCTGGGTCGACATTTATGACTTTTTCTCAATGTTGTAAGCAGCGGACGATCCGTTTCTTTACGCTGCATGGATGGTGGGAGTTGAAATCGAGGTACTGTCCGGTGAATGTCGGTTTACGGTATACCCATGAACTTTTCAATATATTAGAACATCCAGTAATGGGAGCGTGTTGTTACTCTTTCTACATCGTGCACTGTATCGAAGGTCTTATAGAGTTCACATGGTCCAGTAGAACCTGAACATCTTCTTGGTGTGGCCAGAGTATGAAGGTGTAATCTACGTACGTTAACCATAGTGTTGGCTTTAGAGATAAAGATTCTAATGCCATTTCCTCAAGGTATTCCATCTATATATTCGCCATTGCTGGTGATAATGGTGATCTCATTGCTAAACCCTCCTCCTGTATTCTTGCGGTTGATCTTTAATCACTTCTCGTTTGCCTTCGCTACATTATGTCGAAGTTTTTCTTTCCGTAGCTGCTATTAACTGTGTGCTCTGTATATTATTTTAAGCTGGTGGCCGCTAACAGTGAAAAGGTGTAGGGCTTCTAATTCTCTCATAATCGCCTCGCGTTATAGGTTGAATAAATCCGCTAATGACACATCCTTGTCATACAAACTTTTCTATTCGTATGCAAGCTGTTTTCTGCTGTTATATTTTCTTGGTTATTCTAATATCCTTCCCAAACATTACAAAAGACGTTTAAGGCCTACTTTATCGAATGTTATTTTATAATCTATAAACACGAGTACACGCTCTTCTGTGTTTGTATAGATCCTTT